AAGAAACAAATGGTGGAGAATCCAGACTTTTCGTGACTTTCAAAAATCTCTGGCGAATAAAAAAATTGTTATTCTTCCAATCAGGACCGATACAATTTAAGATCATTGTGTACTACACTTCTTTATCTTCGAAATAACTCTAAGAAATCCAAATTCGTTTGAATTTTCATGAAGCCTGAAGCAAAATAATAATAATTGTTTATACGAGATTAGCACATTCACTCCATAACGAATTGCAAAGAAATGAGTGTATTTACTGGACTATTTGTTCAATTTCGATGTTCGAGTACAAATTCTCTTCAGAAATAAATAGCCTAAGATGACATCGGTACAGGTTGGAAAAAATCTGATTTTCTTTTTCTCCAGCGGTTTTTGTAAATGACAATACTTTGGTAGAATCCGCCATTTTGTTTTTGTTCATTATGAGAGCCATATACTATAGCCCTTCAGCTATGAAACGACGCCAAGAAATTCGAATTCGGTTGAGAAATGATGGAACGACGAGGAAAATAAAAACTTCCGTTTTTTTTGTGACCACCCGATAGTTTCAATTTTGAAAGTTGGTAATTTCTCTGATTTCTCATCGGAATTCCTTCTGCAATTGGAGCTAATGGAAATACTCGTGAAATTTCTAAAAGAATGCAAGAAGATTGGATTCATGCAATCAAACGGGAGGACTGGTCTGACATGCTGACGAAATATGATCGTGTGTGTTGTAGACATTTTGAATCCATTAGCAGTATTAGCTCCTATTGCAGAAGTGGCAGGAGGAATTTTAATGCGAAATAACAAAATGTCATGATGAAAACTATGTGAGATTACTATTTACCTGAAAAATTATATTCCTTCGTCTCTACGAATACGAATACCATTCGAATGCCAAAATATTGTGAAAAACTAACTCAATCCTTTGATTCCTCTGTAAACAAATAAAAAAAGTGAGGTTGTGTTTCACCTCTTCAGGGTCCGTCATCGTGCACGCGACCTATTCGCGATAGAAACTAACACGTCGCTTCACCTGACGGCAGCAACTTGAACACTTCTGAGCGGTTTGTTTTGATGATATGACCAATAAGCACGAACAAAAAACAAATGTGAATCAATGAAAACAAAGTAAACATGCCGCTTTGACAGCTTTCAAGAACTCCGATAGGTGGCGTATACGCTTATTTTCTATCGCGAATAGAAATGTTTTGGTCTGTGGAATATGTGTCTTTCAAGACCCTTGTAGGGACACCTTGTATAATACTTTGCACAACTTGCTAGTTATTTGCTTTTTGCTCACGATGTGTTGACATATACCAGTGTCTCTCGTGTTTCAAAATTTTCACGTCTAGTGCAGAAAACACGCTCGTTTTGCAACTTGTTACATAATTATATTGTTATCGTAATGCTTAGTACAGATGACAGCCTTGCGCATTTCAGCTTATAGCGCATCGGAATCTGATTGGTCACAATTAATACTTGTAATAACAGAAAGTTGGTTTCAAGGTCATTTGATATTGGTCTATTATAGAGTCACTGGATAGTATTAGTTTGATAAGAGTTCGGACACAGAAATGACAACTGTTAGGGTTTTTGAATGTTTAGATTCATTAAGTTACACACCTTGCATTGTGACAATAGCACCATAGTCGTCCCGCGCTTTTTATACAAAATAATTGTTTGAATTTGACAGTAAATTAATGAACGTCAGATTTGAAATAAAATGTAATAATTATACTTTCCGAGAAAAAAGCAGCTATGGAAATCACTTGCTGTGTAATAAATTGTGCCAAATCTGATAAAAATGGATATCATTTATTCAATTTTCCGAAACAAATATCAACCATTCGCTTATGGAAGGAAGATATAAAACGGCCTGGGTGGAAAATCAATTTTAAGACGATCGAAATTTGTGAGGTACTCATTAAAATTAGCTTCTTATCACAGCATCTGATCACAGAATGAAACTATATTTTAGGTCAAGTTTCGAAGAGAAGATTTCAAAATCTGTTTGAGAGAATCTGCTATTCCATCAATTTACAAAGCAGACGATTTCAAAATTCCATTATTATCATCACACAAAAAACAGAACAAGATAATCATGAAAAGAGGAAATGACCGTAAAATTACATAATGAAATTGGAAATTTGAAAACAAAACTAAGAAAAGCAAGGAAACTACAACGTGATATATTATTGAATGGCGTTTTTGATGCCGATCAAATTCAAAATTCAACAGTGAAAAGTGAATAATTATTTATGTATCAAGGGAACACTGGAGGTTATCGTTTTGGAGATATTTTCTGTATCGATCCATGTTACTTAGATGCTTAGCTCCTAGGGCGCTAAGTGAAGTTGCTGAGAACTTTTCAGAAAAATGTATTTGGTATATCGATCCATGTTACTTAGATGCTTAGCTTCTAAGGCGCTAAGTGAAGTTGCTGAGAACTTTACAGAAAAATGTATTTGGTAGGTCTCGTCAAAATAAACTACATTTTTACAAGGAAATGTTTATCGAAAAATTATTTGTTCTCTGTGTTTCAACACCCTGTATCTCCGAAATGAAACATTTCCGGACACAAGCTTATATAGACTTTATTTCTTAAAATTGTCTCAGGAATACTTCACTTGAACGTATTTATGTAACTTCCTGTAAATTGAGAATACCTACCTTTAATTAAATATTAATAACTTCATGTTTTATACTTATCACTGGAGTACAGTTTGACATACAATAAGGATTTATAGCTATAAGTTTATCCATATGTGTATATTTTCTAATATTAAAATGTTGGTACATGCATTCTTCTCATTTATATAACAGTTGTTCTGCTAGAAGTGTATCACTATAAATTGAAGTATGGGTGTTTGTAACCCTATATCCATTGTCCATCTACGGCTATGATTGATTTGACAGAAAATATAACCTCTAAAATCGTATTTGACAATCAGGCGCTTCTAGGGAAATTGAAAAGACAAAGAGCAGAATATATGTCTTATTCTTTTATTCACTTAAACCATTGTATTATAGAAAATAGAAAAGGACAAAAGTTCAGCTGTGTCCGAACTCTTATCAAACTAATAGCATCCAGTGACTCTAGTCTATTATAACCCTGAAACAGAAAATGTGAACAGTCCGCGCTTTATTATTCATTTTTCCGCTGTGAATTGTAAGCTGTCTTCTGTACCAACACTAAGTAGTTATAATATATTTTTTTAAACCAGTTTTTCATAAGAGCAACTCAATGTACCTAAATAAATATTTTATTTCAGAATAACTGAAGCTTAACCAACTTCAACTTTGTGTTCAACTTTCAGTAGCTACCAAATTATTCTTGCTTTTTGTCAGTTTGCTCTCTTGAAAAAATAGGTAGATATACAAAAATTCAAAAATAACCATCAAAATTCTTGTTTTTTTTATTTTCCAATTCGAATCAATCACCGAGATATTGACAAGCAAGACAGAGTAATGTTTTGTATATTTACTTTTTTCCAAAGTGACGAAAAAAAAATAAGAATTCTGGAGGTTAATTCGCCATCTCCCTGAGACCCTAACTTGTGACGTCATTTGTACTCTCACAAGTTTGCGACTCGGGTACTGGCGGTTAAGCATTTCTCCTTCTGTTCTTTCCTCACTAATTCAATAAAACTAATTAAATAAAACATTATTTTCAGGCACTACTTATCTTGTACGCCTCTGGAACATCACGAAATCATTTTGGTAATTTTGTTGGTTTCACGTTGGCATTAGTGCGGGATAATTTACAAGAGTCTCGAGATCATACCCGTGTGTTCACCGAACACGCTCGATCGTTACCTAAGCGGTGGGGAGACCGAGACGTGAGCAGGCAGTCAGATACAATGAGTGGGCAGGCAGCTTTTCTCATGCTGTCTTTGTTTTTGTAGTACGGGGTGGGCCACCAACAGTTTTCTTGATCACATTTCAACATTTTTTTTTCGAATAAATAAGAAACATTTGATAGGCATCAAGTGATCTACTGCGACCTATCAGATAATGAAAGCGATGATTTGATTTGCAATAATTCGCTATGTCACGACGAGTCCTACATGTAAATAGCGAACCACTCATCGAAAATCATGAAACTATATGTATATATATTATATGCTTATGTTTTGTTTTCAAGGACGCTCGTTATATTCAAATTATTTTCGATAATGTTCATCTGCTTCACTAGAAATTATTAGTATTTATGTAGTACTTAGTAGTATAGTATATAGTAGCAGCATTGTTATTCAAAATGGAACACCTTATATTTTATTAGATTTTTCGATTCTTCTAATTGAGCTATGATTTCGTTGATCAAGCTCAAGGTATACCTATACGTAGAATGTGAAAAATCGAGATTTTTTTTGTATCAAAACTATACAATACCTATATTGATTTGTCAAAATGGCTTACATGTGTCCCTATCCTAACATTCTATTTACTATCTACTGATGCCATTTAATTGAAACAAATACAGGGTGGATCAGATTTAAGAATTATATAAAAGAAGTACTAGTATGCCTACTAAAAAAATATATATATTTGAAATAATAAACAAAACAAATACTTATATCACATGAAAAAACACACTCTAATATTCAACATAAAATAAAATTCAATCCCACTGGATGTATTTAAAAATATAAACAGTGTGCATGTCACTTCTATAATGGAATATCAACCCGTATATCTAACGTAACTGTTCAATTTTAAGGAGCGATAGATATATATATACCAACTATGACCAAATAAGTGAGGTAATCTTCAGTGAAAAACACTGCTCTGGTCATGGACCCACCAACATTTCCGGAAAATGATATTAGACTAGGAGGCAAGATATATAGGTTGAAAATCACTTCGGATTCGAAATCAGGACGTAACCCTGTACCTCGAAAACGGAGCAAGTTTAGGACACATGTTTATATGACCTTTATTCATCATATTATATCACAAGGAATCATCCCTTGAATTATTTCGGTGTTATTTAGATACACCCTGTATAGATCATTCTTCATCCCAATATAGAGTTATTCAACATTTTTCCCATAGCGAAGTTCAGCAAATACCGATGGTGAGAGCACTATGTTTATTGATTTGATGTCTACCTATAATATATTATGTAAAACAAGAAGGCACAACTACTAGTGTTCCGTTTCGAAGTACATTAAATTAATAAATTTGACTCCAAAATAATTCAGGCACACGCTAATATATTCATAACGTAGTTACTGTTGCCCGTTAAAGATTCCCCACCGCTTAGGGAACGATCGGGCGTGTTCGGTGAACACACGGGTATGATCTCGAGACTCTAGTGATATTCCCCATGTCAACTTCGTACATAACATAAACATAACCTCAACTTTTATTTAGAAAAATGTCTGAAATTTCTGACTCTTTGGAAGCTCATTCTGAATTTTGTTTCAGTACTTGGTGAATCCGAACAAGTTTGAACTATCTACTTTTGCAAGATGTGTGAAATGCCAAAGGCTATAAGCCAAAACCAACACATCATTAATTGATATCAGTAAGTATGGCAAATTATTCTGCAGGAGACGATAAAGGATATGAAGAAGAAATCAGACTCTTGTTGGGCTACCCTCTGATGAAAAGATGTGTCAAAAATGGGTGTGTGTTTTTCAAAGGATCAATAGAAATTGATGTAAGTATTATACATAGATATATAGATACATAGATAGATAGATTTATTTGACTATGTAACTCATACAAAAATGGTTTATAGCAAGTCAGTTTCAAAGCACAGATGTATTACTAGTTATTTAACCAACTAGTATATTAATGAGGGCGATTAATGATCGAGATATTTTAACGTGCGAGCGAAGCGAGTGCGTTAATGTTCGAGATCATTAATCGCCTTTTAATATACAAGTTGGTTACAAAATTTTTCCGTTGACTATATTTCTCATTTCTCCTGCAATGAAGAAAACTTGGTTCGCCAAATCATCATCCATCCGGAAACTGCTAAGAATCACCCAGTATAGCCCTGTTACTGACATTAGACATATTTGACATTTGTCGAAATGATCAACATAGGAAATAAATGTCTTGTGTTAAAAAACAGGGATTAATATCATGTCAGAAACTTGGAAAGGCGAACCCGTTAACGGAAAATCGTTGATGAAATCCATATTTTCGATTTAAATGCAGATTCCGTAAGTTATAGCACATACAATGAATGCACGTGGTGTATGTTTGGTTGCCTATAAAACAATCGTGTATTAATAGACAAATCGTTCATTAATAGGGGTCATTAATGAACGATTTCATATACATTAAACTTAGTCGTTAATACGAGGTCAACGGAAAAATATTTTATAAAGACAAACGAGACTGATTTTCATTTTGATAAAAAACAGTGGCGTGCCATTTTTAAATGTAATAAAATTATATTTTGGTCAATATCAACGGTTCAAAACAAGGTAGATGATAAATTATTTTCATCGAATTATACAGTGCGTTCATAAAGTGTGGAAACGCTCCATTATCTTACGATATAATTATTTTCAGACGTAAAGCTCGGACAGGTCGATTTTGTATTTCAGTCTTCCATCTTTTTTTACAAAAAAATATTTTTTTCCCCCACCACCTTACAAGATATGACGTCATCGATATTTTTTTTAAATTGAAAGGGTATATTTTTATATCAAAAATTGAAAGCCCATATTTTTCTGAGTTCAACCATACCACATACGTCATATCTTACACTTCAAGTTACAGTATACTGAGTATAAAAGAAACCAGTGTTCATATTTCTCAACATTCATTTAATTATTTATTTGCAATGAAAATATCATAAGAAGTAGTGAAAATAAACAAATAACAAGCAAATATACTCGTACTAACTACTGAGTAATTCTCAGGTTTCCATTGCAAAATAAATAATTAAATGAATGTTGAGAAATATGAACACTGGTTTCTTTTGTACTCAGTATACTGTAACTTGAAGTGTAAGATATGACGTATGTGGTATGGTTGAACTTAGAAAAATATGGGCTTTCAATTTTTGATATAAAAATATACCCTTTCAATTTAAAAAAAATATCGATGACGTCATATCTTGTAAGGTGGTGGGGGAAAAAATTATTTTTTTGTAAAAAAAGATGGAAGACTGAAATACAAAATCGACCTGTCCGAGCTTTACCTCTGAAAATAATTATATCATAAGATAATGGAGCGTTTCCACACTTTATGAACGCACTGTATATAGAGGAATTCATCCTCTTTCGAAACATATGAAAATTGATATACCATTACATTTGTTTTTTTTTTTCGAAAAAAACTAAACCAAATCATCGTTTTGTAGGACAAATCATGCTCTTTCATATGAGCCTAAGTTTGCTAAAATCGGTGGAAATAAACGGGAGAAATCTTGGTTTGTTTAAAAAAACAATTGAACTTCCCCCACCGCTTTATTTTGATAGATAGAACAAAACGTTTTAGACAAAAAAATGTAGGGAACTGAGCAGTTAATATGAAAATGATATCATCGATATACTTTTATTAAACAAAATTCTATAAAAATCCCATTTTACTACTTGGTGTTGGTTGTTACGCCCTCTACCGGACGTTTGACAAACTCGAAAATAATGATAATTGAACATTCTCTATCCGTTTAAAATATTTTCATCGATACAGTGTTGCCACTTCTATTAGAAAGAGTCAGCAACTTTGTTATTTCCAATGGAACACCCTGTATTTTATTGCATTTTTAGATTCTCCCTGGAGAGCTGATTTCATCGATGTGTCACACTTGGGGTCTAGCAAATATGATTACAGAGATATAGGGTGTTCAAAATCGAGATTTTTCGATTTTAATATTTTTTTGTGTCGAAACTATTCATTATCGATCAAAACGGCTCACATGTCCCTATCTCAACTTTTGATTCACTATCCACTGGAATTTAATTTGAAAAAATACAGGGTGCTTCAAGATTCAGAATTCTGATCACCCTGTATCTGTTCCAATTAAATGTCAGTAGACAGTGAATCGAAAGTTGAGATAGGGACATGTAAACCTTTTTGATCGATAATGAATAGTTTCGACACAAAAAAATCTTAACATTGAAAAATCCTAATTTTGAACACCCTATATCTCTGTAAACATTCCTGCTAGAACCCAAATGTGATTCATTGATGAAATCAGCTCTTCAGGAAGAATCTGAAAATGTAATAAAATACAGGATGTTTCATTTGAAATAACAAAGTTGCTAACTGTTTCTGATAGAAGTGGCAACACTGTCTCAATGAAAATATTTTAGACGGATAGAGAATGTTCAATTATTAAAGCATCCCAATTTTCAGAATGTTCTGTCTTTTATTTCTCCAAATATTTCTAATAGGCCATCCACCGTGAATCACCCTGTATATGTAGCTCTTTCAGGTTCTCATCGGGTATTTGAGGAATTATTAATTTTCAGAATGAAGATTACAAAGTATCTATTGAAGAACATCCAGAACATGGTTTTGTCCTCGAATTATCACCAGAACTGAAGAATCTGCAACAAGATTTCTCAGATATTATGCAGCAACAAAAACTTACTAGTGTGATATCCTATTTGGATAGTCTCAGAACATACATTCAGTCAAAAATACCTGCTAAAAATCCTGTGAACCATTGTGATATTTACAGACAGGTCCTTTATGAGTATTCAGAATTCACAAAGTTTTATTTGAACCTCAAATGCTGCTACTTGGCCTATGAACTGAATAAAATCAACATCACTACTGTGGATGAGCAAAACAGAGAACATTCTGTTGAAATCCATATTGATTACGCTAATGTCCACAAGATTTTCTGCATTGCTGAATATGATTTGCCTCTAGAAAAAGGTTATTTCAAGGCAACTTCAAGTTTGAGAGAAACTTATGACAAGTTTGTGGGGCTGGTGGAGTTGCTGCAACCGTTTTTTGATTTGATGGGGGTTTTTGATTCTTGTTGTCACATTTTGGATCCTGTACCCCAGAAGAGGATGTATAACTACAGGAGGATTTTAATAGGTGAGAAGCCAAAATTAGGTAAAACTGCATTTATCATGGCATGGGTTTTTTTAGATTTTTTTTTTGTAGTTTCGTATTTTTGCCTGAAAAACACAAATTTGATAATGACATTGTAAACAAACCACTATTTACAAAGTTAAAAATTTCACCTTCTTTTTCCCCTTGTGTTGGATGCGTTTACAGCTACTTGCTCTTCTTATTTTGTCATTGGACACTTTATATACTCGTGATGTACTTCAATGACACATTTTAATAAAGAAAATTCAACAGGAAATATGATTGTTATGTCGAGTTTTTCATATTTAGTGAACAATCATACCTGATGACGGCCATTTAATATTTAATCAACAGTCAAAGCAGGAGATTTCAAATGTTAACAGATTGCTTTTGAATAACATTACATACGCCATTATTTTAAATGATATTCTTCCTTCTTTTTACTAAATATGCATAAATCCCAAGAAAATCATATTTCTAGTTGACCCATACAGTGTCTTTCAAAAGTATCGGAACGGTCTCATATTTCAGGAACGGCTTGAGAAAAATTCACGAAATTTTCTACAGGGTGATTATTGATGATGTCCGATTCAATGGTGGCATCGGCAATGTTGCCAAGTTTACAGTTTTTCAGATATTAGGAGTAACTTTATTTTTTCAAATGGAATACCCCATTTATTTTAATTGTAATTGATTGAGCGCCTCCTAATTACTTGAGTCCCTGAATATCAGATTCGTAATTAACGTGATTTTCGAAATATGACAACATAGCATTTTCGTTAAAAAGTTCTGGAACGGTCCCATATTTCAGAAACGGCTCAGAGAAAATTTATGAAAACTTCGACAGAATGATTGTTGATGATGCCCGATTCAATGGTGATATCAGAAATGTTGCCAAATCAACAGTTTTTCAGATATTTAGGGTAACTCAATTTTTTCAAATGGAATACCCTATTTGTTTTTAATGCAATACATTCAACGACGCTTCATCACTTATGTCTCCAAATATCAGATTTTAAATTGAAGTGGTTTTCGAAATATGACAACATGGCATTTTCGTTCAAAAGTCTGGGAACCTTCTAATATTTTCAATACGGTTCAAGGAAAATTCATGAAATTTTATACAAAATGGTTTCTGATGATGCCCGATTCAATGGTGATATCGGCAATGTTGCCAAATCAATAGTTTTTCAGATATTGAGGGTAAGTAAATTTTTTCAAAAGGAAAACCCTATTTATTTTCGTTGCAATCAATTCAGCCCTCCTCATTACTTATGTCTTCAAATATTAAATTTTAAATAAGTGTGGTTTTTTCAATATGAGAACATGCTCCGTTGAAATGTCTGCAAACGGTCCAATATTTTCATAAGGGCTCGAGAAAATATCATGAAATGTTATACAAAATGGTTTTTGATAAAAAAACTTTTCAATAATTGAATTCTGTTCCAATAGAGTATTGAATCAAATAACAGAAACTGAAAACTATCTGACCAAGTGCTCAAAATGTTTGCCATTATTTGCTAAACAATAGCCCAAGCGGTCATAAAATTCCCTCAAAGTATTAGTTAGCATTTGAGGCGTAATTAAAAGAGCTGCCTGACATATTTTATTTTTTAAGGTTTCTAAATTTGCTGGTTGCTCCACAAAAACGCGATTTTTCAAATGTCCCCAAAAAAAATAGTCTAATGGTGTCAAATAGGGTATTCCATTTGAAAAAATTGAGTTAGCCTAAATATCTGAAGAACTGTTGATTTGGCAACATTGCCGATATCACGATTGAATCGGGCATCATCAACAACCATCCTGTCGAAGTTTTCATAAATTTTCTCTGAGCCGTTTCTGAAATATGGGACCGTTCCAGAACTTTTTAACGAAAATGCTATGTTGTCATATTCCGAAAATCACGTTAATTACGAATCTGATATTCAGGGACTCAAGTAATCAGGAGGCGCTTAATTTATTGCAATAAAAATAAATGGGGTATTCCATTTGAAAAAATTAAGTTACTCCTAATATCTGAAAAACTGTTAACTTGGCAACATTGCCGATGCCCCCACTGAATCGGACATCATCAATAATCACCCTGTAGAAAATTTAGTGGATTTTTCTCAAGCCGTTCCTGAAATATGAGACCGTTCCGATACTTTTGAAAGACACTGTATAATAGAAAAAAATGTGTCATTGAAGTACATTGTGATATACAGGGTGTTTCACAGGTAAAGGGAAATATGTCAATGGTAGGTAGGGGTCACCAAGGTGGTTCTGAAAATACCATATTTGATAGGTCATAGAGTCTTCATAACGGAGATACAGAGCGATCGATTTATCGATTTTGAATAATTATTCATTCGTCTATATGTATTGACCTACCCAGTATATTTTTCTCAAAATTGGTAAGGAGCTTATATACTTGTGACGTTAAATTCATTCACTTATCGGGCGGAGTGAAAATCCAGGTTCGGCTTCAGGACAATTTACATTTATTCGAAATATCAAAATAACACACTGTATTTAATAATTAACACAGTACATCAAAAGAATTGTGAAGAGGAGAAAAAACTGAATTTGGTTTGATGCTTTTTGTTTTCCCGCCACCAATTCTCATCGTTACAATCATAAACAGAAAGTTGAAAGTATGTCAATTTGAAGAGTATTGAAATCATGAAACCACAAAATCGGTAATTGAAATATGTCTTAGTAATTTCTATCATTTTTTTTTTGTTTTCAGGAGAAAACCTATCATTGATAGTAACAGTTGATCCTTTTAATGTCACAAGGATTCCAGAAATCAAATTTCTGGGTCCACAAAGACAAGTTGAAGCACTTCGAACAAAGATGAATAATAACTTAGAAAAGTGGGATCAAACCAATGACACATTCACTGAAATCTTACTTTTACTTGGTATGTTTATAAACCATGAAAAAAAACTATTGATGTGCCAAATAGAGTGGATAGTCTTCATGGAATATAACTTGAAATTTTTTGTACAAAGAAGACAATCAAAAAAATATCTTCATCGATAACATATTATAATAACTGCAAATTCCAATGAAAATATGGTAAAACTGCACTTATCATGCGATGGTTTTTTTTTTAAATTTTTCTTGGTACTCACGTATTTTCGTCTGAAAAACACGAATTTCACAATGAAAAGGTGAACAAACCGCTATTTATCGAGATATTTGATGAAAAAGTGCGAAATTTCACCTTCTTTTGCAACCCATCTAGGATATCCATTTACAACCACTTGTCCTTCTTTTTCCATCACTGGACACTTTATACAGGGTGTCCGGAAATTATGCGCTAAAAATCAAGGGGGTGATTCTGCATGAGAAAACATTAAATTTATTTCATATACACGTGGGTCCCGAAATGCATAGTTTTCAAGATACAGTGTGTTGAACTTTTCAAAATATTCTGAAAATCGGGATGCTTTGATAATTGAACATCCTCTATTCGTCTGAAATATTTTCATCGATACAGTGTTGCCATTTTTATCAGAAACAACTAGCAACTTCGTTATTTTAAATGGAGCACCCTGTATTTTATTGCATTTTCAGATTCTTCCTGAAGAGCTGATTTCATCAAAGTATCACACTTGGGGTCTAGCAGGAATAATGAATACAGGGTGTTCAAAATCGAGATTTTCGGATTTTAGGATTTTTTTGTGTCGAAACTATTCATCATCGATCAAAACGGCTCACAGGTCCCTATCTTAACTTTCGATTCACTATCTACTGATATTTAATTGGAACAGATACAGGGTGATCGGAATTCTGAATCTTGAAGCACCCTGTATTTTTTCCAACTAAATTCCAGTAGATAGTGAATCAAAAGTTGAGATAGGGACATGTAAGCCGTTTTCATCGATAATGAATAGTTTCAACACGAAAAAAAAAAAAACAAAAATTGAAAAATCTCGATTTTGAACACCCAATATCTCTGTAATCATTCCTGCTAGACCCCAAGTGTGATGCATTGATTAAATCAGCTCTTCAGGAAGAATCTAAAAATGCAATAAAATACAGGATGCTCCATTTAAATTAACGAAGTTGCTAGTTGTTTCTGATAGAAGTGTATCGATGAAAATATTTTAGACGGATAGAGAATGTTCAATTATCAAAGCATTCCAATTTTCAGAATGTTCTGTCTTTTCGTTCTCCAGATACTCCTAATACGCCATCCACCGTGGATCACCCTGTATAAACTGTCCAATGATGGCAAAAGAAGGACAAATAGTTGTGAATGGATATCCAAGATAGGCGGCAAAACATGGTGAAATTTCGCATTTTTTCGTAAAATATCCCGATAGATCGCGGTTTGTTCACATTTTCATTGTGAAATTCGTGTTTTTCATTCGAAAATACGTGAGTACAAAAAAATTTTTTCGAAACAAACCCATCGCATGATAAGTGCAGTTTTACCCAAGATATCAGTCTATAGTGTGTTAATATCATTTTGAAGGTATGGACCACTTTCCAGAAAAGATCGTTGATTTGAATGAAAAGGAAGACATTCTGGTGGGAACTGGAGATTGCAGCATCTGTTTTTCGTCAAGACTGAATGGAAAATTGCCTGAAGTGGTATGCAAAAACGAATTTTGCGAAAACTATTATCATGTGGACTGTTTATATGAGGTAATAATGATTCAGTTATTCGAAAATTGTCATTATAATTCATTTGAAACCTGCAGAATTGAAATCAATTTCATAATTTGTTGTCATAGTTCTCAAATTGAAAAAGTTACGTTTCATATGGACTAATATAATCTATATTAATATTACAAAGAGAAAAGATTTGATTGTTTGTATGTATTGAATAGGCTTCGAAACTACTGGATTTGGCTGAAAATTGGTGGGGAGGTAGCTTCGAACCAGAAGACGGTTATAGGATACTTTTTTATCCCGGTACCATTAGGAAATTCAAGATGGCGGATCTTATATATCGGACGAGTTTTGTAATTATGGTCCGATTCTTTTCCAAATTTGTATTTGGGGAGTTTCGGGGTCGGTGATTATGATTCTTTCGTCAGAATATGAATATTTGGGTGGAATTTGGAAATTCAAGATGGCGGAACCAATATGGCGGACGAGTTTTGTAATTATGATCCGATTCTTTTCAAAATTTGTATTTGGGGAGTTTCGGGATCGGTGATTATGATTCTTCCGTCAGAATTGGAAATTCAAGATGGTGGACGAGTTTTGTAATTATAATTCGATTCTTTTCAAAACTGGTACCTAGGAGTTTTCGTGATCGGGGATTATGATTCCTTTGTTAACATTAAGAAATTCTAGATGGATCCAAAATGGTGGATTTTGTAATTAGGATCCGATTTTATTCTTTGGTATCTGGTGGTTCTCGGTGTCGGAGATTACGATTATTCCGTCAGAATTAGGAAATTCAAGATGGCGGGCCCAATATGGCGGACGAGTATTGTAATTATGATCCGACTCTCTTCAAAATTGTTATCTGGATGTTTTCGAAGTCGGAGATTATGATTCTTTTGTCAAAATTTGGAAAGGACAGGATTTGGAAATTCAAGACGGTGGAACCAATATACCGGACGAGTTTTGTAATTATATACCGATTCTATTCAAAACTTGTAAGTGGGCGTTTTCAGGATAAAAAATTATGATTCCTTCGTCAAAATTAGGGAGTTCAAGATGGCGGACACAATATGGCGGACGAGTATTGTAATTATGATCCGACTCTCTTCAAAATTGTTATCTGGGTGTTTTCGGGGTCGGAGATTATGATTCTTTTGTTAGAATTTGAAAAGGACAAGATTTGGAAATTCAAGACGGTGGAACCAATATACCGGACGAGATTTGTAATCATAAACCGATTCTATTCAAAATTTGTAAGTGGGCGTTTACAGGACCAAAAATTATGATTCCTTCGTCAAAATTAGGGAATTCAAGATGGTAGATTCAATATTGCGGACGAGTTTTGTAATTATGTTCCGATTCTATTCAAAATTTTCATCTGGGGTTTTAGGAGTCGGATATTATGATTCTTCGTCAAAATTGGGAAATTCAAGTGAACTAAAAAGGAGTTGAGATAAATGGTAGTTTGAAAAACTAAAGAAACACGCTTTTATAGATAGGGAAACTAAAAAGAAGTAGCAAATGAAATAATAATAAGTGTCTTGATGAATATTGAACTGAAAAAATATAATATAGAAATAATGTATATAGCAAAACTACGTTTGCGAGGTCTGCTAGTTATACAATATTTCTGAATTATCTCCCAGAATCGTATACTGAAAGATAAATATATATATCATTTCATTAAATAAATTAATAATGAACTTTGTAATGCCTTTGTTACATTCCAGTAATATTAATTTCATGTCCTTTGTCTCTCTTCCAATTACATTCGCAAGTTACAAAATGCCCTAGTCTGTTTTATATTTTATCAAGCATAAGAAGTCATGTGGAAATACATGGTATTGTCGAATAACAGAGCTGGACGGGAATTTAATTCACAACCCCTGAGAATTTCTATTTTGGGATTGAGAGTAGGAAGAAAAGTGTTGACCTTTTTTCAAACACCTACCTTTAATTATCATTTTGGAATATGAACAGCGGAGGAAATTAACACGTCATGTACAGGGTATCCCAATTTGGGCACTTTTGCGGGGTATCTCCCTTATCAGTAAAGATAGAGCATTGCGGTTTCCGCGACAGTGTGCTACTTTTTTATGAAATTAATAATGGCGCAAGCAGAATTGTGGTAGCTCTTCTGGTTGTCGAGATACAGGGTGGAATTGAAAAATATCACTTTTCAGGCACCCTCCGTGTCTCAGTTATCTTTGAACTTATCGAAGAAGTTAAAACTTGTTTTTATAGAGTTTTTCTCGTAGAATCCAGTGGCGTAGTTATTTTTTTGCTAGCACTTTTTGTTTTTTAGTTATGGAGCAAACATATGTTTTTTTAAATGGAAAATAATTGTATACAATTATATATTTTTGGAAAGCCCACTTCATGCTCAATGTATATATGAAATAATATACAGGGTGTTCCATTTAAAAAAACATATGTTTGCTCCATAACTAAAAAACAAAAGGTGCTAGCAAAAAAATAACTACGCCACTGGATTCTACGAGAAAAACTCTATAAAAACAAGTTTTAACTTCTTCGATAAGTTCAAAGATAACTGAGACACGGAGGGTGCCTGAAAAGTGATATTTTTCAATTCCACCCTGTATCTCGACAACCGGAAGATCTATCACAATTCTGCTTGCGCCATTATTAATTTCATAAAAAAGTAGCACACTGTCGCGAAAACCGCAATGCTCTATCTTTACTGATAAGGGTGATACCGATACCCCGCAAAAGTGCCCAAATTGGGATACCCTGTACAGGTTTCTGAAATAATTTTTTACGAACTTTTCGAATCTGTGCTCCCTGTTTGATACAGGGTGGTGGCTAAAGAAAAAAATAAGATTTTTCAAATGGAATTATCTAAATTTTATTCGATAATAATATATGAATGATATACAGGGTGGCCCACGGTCGATGGTACCTTAGACGTATACGGAAAACGGTACATTGGATTATCCTGAAGATTCGGTTACTCTAATAAGCGTTTGTGATATAAAGATTCAAAATATTTTCAGCGATGCAGCGTTGCCACTTTTACCAAAAAGTAGCATCATCTTTGTTATTTCGAATGGAACACCCTGTATTTTATTGCGTTTTTAGATTCTTCTCGAAGAGCTGATTTCATCAATGCATCACACTTGGGGTCTAGTAGGAATGATTACAGAGGTAAAGGGGGTTCAAAATCGACATTTTTCAACTTTAGGATTTTTTTGTCTCGAAACTTTTCATCATTGGTCAATACGGCTTACATGTCCCTATATTAACTTTTGATTAACTATCTACCGACATTTAATTGGAAAAAATACAGGATGGTCCAAGATTCAGAATTTTGATCACCCTGTATCTGTTCCAATTAAATGTCAGTAGATAGTGAATCGAAAGTTGAGAGAGGGACATGTGAGCCGTTTTAATCGATAATGAATAGTTTCGACACAAAAAAATCCTAAAGTTGAAAAATCTCGATTTTGAACACCCTATATCTCTGTAATAATTCCTGCTAGACCCCAAGTGTGATGCATTGATGAAATCAGCTCTTCGAGAAGAATCTAAAAACGCAATGAAATACAGGGTGTTACATTTGAAATAACAAAGATGATGCTACTTTTTGGTGAAAGTGGCAACGCTGCATCGCTGAAAATATTTTGAATCGTTAGATCACAAACGCTTATTAGAGTAACCAAATTTTCAGGATAATCCAATGTACCGTTTTCCGTATACGTCTAAGGTACCATCGACCATGGGCCACCCTGTATAATTCTGGTGACAATTCATCAGGAAGTATGTGTAGTAGGACAAATCAGATGATTTGCCCCAAAATGTCATTCTGGGGAGCCTAAAAGGAAAATCCAATAGCTTGTCATTGACACTTTGTTTGGAAAAATGATTGAAGAGAATAATAATTATTATAGATATATTGGAAAAATATCGAATTTTTACTTATCTTTGGACGTTTCGGGAACGAATCTGCTCCCGTTGCTTTCTCTTCTTAATCAGATTTTCATTTCTTTTTGAGTGTAGTATATTGGTTCCTTGTAAAACTTAATTGACAAAAAATGCTTTGTTTGGTTTTCATCTCGATACATTAAAACTTGTAAGTCAAAAAGTTTGAATATCGTTTTCTTTTTTTATTTCAGTGGTTGATGGCTGTGAATGCAAGAAAATTCTTCACCGAGGTTATAGGAAATTGTCCAAACTGTGAAAAAAGTATTTCCTGTCCAATACCATCAGTCTGAAACTTGAGGACCATGAAATATTGCAAGAAGAATGGTGTGAAAATATATCTGAATATATAATATTTTATTTTTTGTATGTAATTCGTAGTAAATTTGTTGCCTATCAAATAGCATCACTTTATGAAACGAAAATGACTGTTATTTTTATTTATTATCCATTTTACAGAATGTATTTTTGTTAATAAATTTTGTAATGAATCTCTGCCTATTTTTTGCTTTCCTCCATTATGAAGGTCTTTGATCTCGAAAACCAACCGAGATGAGAAAAAGCGGACTTCAGATTCTTGTTCAGCACATCGAGAACACTCTGTATACAAATTTTCAGGGCATTCTGACGTTTTGAAATTCATGGAAAATGTTCAAAGGGGTTAACCTTGTTTCATTTTCAGAATCAGAAATCAACTTTATCGTAGAGCCTTCAAATTTGATATACAGGGTCCTTAAGATTAGCCCCAGTGCGGAGTAGAAGCACAGCTCTCTAGCTTTTATAGGACAAAAGAAGCGATGTTTGGCCCAACTTTGCTCTGAAATTTTTTTGATGCTTGTATGCGAATATCTCGAAAACCAACCGAGATAAGAATAAGCGGACTTCAGATTCTTGTTCAGCACATCGAGAACACTCTGTATACAAATTTTCAGGCCATTCTGACGTTTTGAAATTCTTGAAAAATGTTCAAAGGGGTTAACCTTGTTTCATTTTTAGAATAAAAAATCAACTTTATCGTAGGGCCTTCAAATTTGATATACAGGGTCCTTGAGGTTAGCCTCAGTGCGGAGTAGAAGCACAGCTCTCTAGCTTTTATAGGACAAAAGAAGCGATGTTTGGCCCAACTTTGCTCTGAAATTTTTTTGATGCTTGTATGCGAATATCTCGAAAACCAACCGAGATAAGAATAAGCGGACTTCAGATTCTTGTTCAGCACATCGAGAACACTCTGTATACAAATTTTCAGGGCATTCTGACGTTTTGAAATTCATGGAAAATGTTCAAAGGGGTTAACCTTGTTTCATTTTCAGAATCAGAAATCAACTTTATCGTAGAGCCTTCAAATTTGATATACAGGGTCCTTAAGATTAGCCCCAGTGCGGAGTAGAAGCACAGCTCTCTAGCTTTTATAGGACAAAAGAAGCGATGTTTGGCCCAACTTTGCTCTGAAATTTTTTTGATGCTTGTATGCGAATATCTCGAAAACCAACCGAGATAAGAATAAGCGGACTTCAGATTCTTGTTCAGCACATCGAGAACACTCTGTATACAAATTTTCAGGCCATTCTGACGTTTTGAAATTCTTGAAAAATGTTCAAAGGGGTTAACCTTGTTTCATTTTTAGAATAAAAAATCAACTTTATCGTAGGGCCTTCAAATTTGATATACAGGGTCCTTGAGGTTAGCCTCAGTGCGGAGTAGAAGCACAGCTCTCTAGCTTTTATAGGACAAAAGAAGCGATGTTTGGCCCAACTTTGCTCTGAAATTTTTTTGATGCTTGTATGCGAATATCTCGAAAACCAACCGAGATAAGAATAAGCGGACTTCAGATTCTTGTTCAGCACATCTTGAACACTCTGTATACAAATTTTCAGGGCATTCTGACGTTTTGAAATTCATGGAAAATGTTCAAAGGGGTTAACCTTGTTTCATTTTCAGAATCAGAAATCAACTTTATCGTAGAGCCTTCAAATTTGATATACAGGGTCCTTAAGATTAGCCCCAGTGCGGAGTAGAAGCACAGCTCTCTAGCTTTTATAGGACAAAAGAAGCGATGTTTGGCCCAACTTTGCTCTGAAATTTTTTTGATGCTTGTATGCGAATATCTCGAAAACCAACCGAGATAAGAATAAGCGGACTTCAGATTCTTGTTCAGCACATCGAGAACACTCTGTATACAAATTTTCAGGCCATTCTGACGTTTTGAAATTCTTGAAAAATGTTCAAAGGGGTTAACCTTGTTTCATTTTTAGAATAAAAAATCAACTTTATCGTAGGGCCTTCAAATTTGATATACAGGGTCCTTGAGGTTAGCCTCAGTGCGGAGTAGAAGCACAGCTCTCTAGCTTTTATAGGAAAAAAGAAGCGATTTTTAACCCCACTTTGGTCTGAAATTTTGTTGATGCTTGTATGCGAATATCTCGAAAACCAACCGAGATAAGAAGACGCGGACTTCAGATTCTTGTTCAGCACATCGAGAACACTCTGTATACAAATTTTCAGGCCATTCTGACGTTTTTAAATTCATGGAAAATGTTCAAAGGGGTTAACCTTGTTTCATTTTTACAATCAAAAATCAACTTTATCACAGGGCCTTCAAATTTGATATACAGGGTCCTTAAGATTAGCCTCAGTGCGGAGTAGAAGCACAGCTCTCTAGCTTTTATAGGAAAAAAGAAGCGATTTTTGACCCCACTTTGGTCTGAAATTTTTTTGATGCTTGTATGCGAATATCTCGGAAACCAACCGAGATGAGAAGAAGCGGACTTCAGATTCTTGTTCAGCACATCGAGAACACTCTGTATACAAATTTCCAGGCCATTCTGACATTTTGAAATTCATGGAAAATGTTCAAAGGGGTTAACCTTGTTTCATTTTTAGAATAAAAAATCAACTTTATGAGAGGGCCTTCAAATTTGATATACAGGGTCCTTGAGATTAGCCCCAGTGTGGAGTAGAAGCACAGCTCTCTAGCTTTTATAGGAAAAAAGAAGCAATTTTTGGCCCCACTTTGCTCTAAAACTTTTTTGATGCTTGTATGCGAATATCTCGAAAACCAACCGAGATAAGAAGAAGCGGACTTCAGATTCTTGTTCAGCACATCGGGAACACTCTGTATACAAATTCTCGGGCCATTCTGACGTTTTGAAATTCTTGAAAAATGTGCAAAGGGGTTAACCTTGTTTCATTTTTAGAATAAAAAATAAATTTTATCGTAGGGCCTTCAAATTTTATATACAGGGTCCTTAAGATTAGCCTCAATGCGGAGTAGAAGCACAGCTCTCTAGCTTTTATAGGAAAAAAGAAGCAATTTTTGACCACACTTTGCTCTGGAATTTTCTTGATGCTTGTATGCGAATATCTCGGAAACCAACCGAGATAAGAAGAAGCGGACTTCAGATTCTTGGTCAGCACATCGAGAACACTCTGTATACAAATTTTCAGGCCATTCTGACGTTTTGAAATTCTTGAAAAATGTTCAAAGGGAACCTTGTTTCATTTTCAGACTCAAAAATCAACTTTATCGTAGGGCCTTCAAATTTGATATACAGGGTCCTTAAGATTAGCCTCAGTGCGGAGTAGAAGCACAGCTCCCTAGCTTTTATAGGACAAAAGAAGCGATTTTTGACCCCACTTTGGTCTGAAATTTTTTTAATTCTTGTATGCGAATAACTCGAAAACCAACCGAGATAAGAAGAAGCGGACCTCGGATTCTTGTTCAGCACATCGGAAACACTCTGTATACAAATTTTCAGGCCATTCTGACGTTTTGAAATTCTTGAAAAATGTTCAAAGGGGTTAACCTTGTTTCATTTTCAGACTCAAAAATCAACTTTATCGTAGGGCCTTCAAATTTGATATACAGGGTCCTTAAGATTAGCCTCAGTGCGGAGTAGAAGCACAGCTCCCTAGCTTTTATAGGACAAAAGAAGCGATTTTTGACCCCACTTTGGTCTGAAATTTTTTTGATGCTTGTATGCGAATATCTCGAAAACCAACCGAGATAAGAAGAAGCGGACTTCACATTCTCGTTCAGCACATCGAGAACACTCTGTATACAAATTTTCAGGCCATTCTGACGTTTTGAAATTCATGGAAAATGTTCAAAGGGGTTAACCTTGTTTCATTTTTAGAATCAAAAATCAACTTTATCGTAGGGCCTTCAAATTTGATATACAGGGTCCTTAAGATCAGCCCCAGTGCGGAGTAGAAGCACAGCTCTCTAGCTTTTATATGAAAAAAGATGCAATTTTTGACCCCACCTAGCTGCTTTGAAATTTGTTTGATGCTCGACGAAAAGAAATTCTTTGCCATCTTTCGCGATCTTTCAGTCAATTTTTTTCATGTTTGAATGCGAATATCTCGAAAACCAACAGAGATTAACAGAAGCGGACTTCTAATTCTTGTTCAGGCCATCGAGAACACCCTGTATACAAATTTTCAGGCCATTCTGACGGTTTGAAATTTATGAAAAATGTTCAAAGGTGATCACCTTGTTTCTTTTTCAGACTCAAAAATCAACTTTATCGTAGGGTCTTCAAATTTGGTATACAGGGTCCTTAAGACTAGCCCCAGTGCGGAGTAGAAGCACAGTCCTCTATAGCTTTCATAGAAATTTGAGAGAATTTGTTATTTTTGACGCCACTTTGGTCTGATTTGGTTTTGAATGCGAATATCTGGGAAACTAGGAGAGATAGGAAAAAACTGACTAGACGGGTGGACAAGTATTTTTTCAATTCTTAAATCGAATCATCACTCAAATACCTTTCAATTTCATATTTTTTCATCTGACCAATAAAGAAACACAATAAAAACTGGCGTCACAATTCATTCCACGTATCGCCAAATGGTGGCCATGACGGTACGTTTGAAATGTGCTCCGTGATTCAACAATTTCAAACAACGCATACACTTATTATTTACATAAAAAAGGGTGAGAAGTGTTTCAAGGAATAATTCAGGTCCCTAAGGACACAGTGAAATAATTGAATGTCAATAATTCATTACCAGTCCATTCGCTCGTTTCACACAGCTCAAAGAAACAAAGAAATAAAACGAAACATATTGTCCAAAACACTTTAATCACTATTCACTACCACTCAATCCATCAATATCTCCTCGATGCTATGATCATCCCTCAACGGACTCTGCGTCAAACTCGGCTCGCTCTCCAAAAACTGCCTCAACTCGGACTCCAGATCGATATTACTTACTTCCGGGGCCCCGCCGTTCACCTCCCCCATACCCAATCCCAACGCCTTCCTGATCCCTGCCACGGGCGCCACTTCCGCAGGAGTCACCTGCACACAATACAACAACTTTAGCCGTTACCACCGATACAACAAGGCCTGCATGCTCCGTGGGTGACGTCACTTAGTGAGGCCTAACCAGCGGCTCGAAACGACAAGCGCTTATACCGCGTATTTCGATTTTAGTTTTAGATCATCATTGAGCCGATTTTGCCGTTTTTTGAAGGGCTTCCGGTTAAAAAAGGATGCCAGTCGTCAACTGAGCCCTTCTTCGCACCCTATTCGATTTTATTATGGAAAAACGAAGTTTTAAAGCGGAAACCAGGATAAAACACAAATATCCACCTACAGCAACCCATTCGAATTAAATATATTGGCAAAAATTGTGGAGAAGGTAAACTTCACACCTACTTATACAGGGCCCGCAGAACATAAACTTATCGTGAGATTGATCGAAAGAAAATTGTGGACAATGTATTTTATTTTGATTGACATGCCGTTTGTTACAATTACCTATATTTATCTTGGAGAATTCCTATTACCTGAAAAAATAACCAGTGAGTGTTTTCAATTTTCTGTTGTTGGATTTTTCACCCAAGTGGATCGTTACACTTGAAACCGTAATTTTTAAGGGTAAAACTGCATTTATCATGCGATAGTTTTTTTTTGAAAATTTTTTTCGGTACTAACGTATTTTTGTCTGATGAACCGAATTTTATAATGAAAATGTGAACAAACCACTATTTATTGAGATATTTCAAAAAAAAAGTTCGAAATTTCGCCTTCCTTCTCCCCTTGTGTTGGGGGCATTTGAAGCTACTTGCTCTTATTTTGTCATTGGACACTTTATATACTCATGATGTACTTCGATGGCACATTTTTATATAGAAAATTCAACAGGAAATATGATTTTTATGGCGAGTTTTTCATATTTAGTGAACAAGCATTCCAGATGACGACCATTTAATCAATAGTCAATCAAAATACGAGATGTCAAATGTCAATAGATTGCTTTCGAATGACATTACACACGCCATTATTTTGAATGATATTCTCCCTTCTTTTCACTAAATATGGATTAATCTCGAGAAAATCATATTTATAGTTGAATTATATATAAATGGTCCAATATGATGAAAAAAGAAGGGAAATTTGTTCTAAATGCCATCCAGAAGACAGGTGAAAAAGAAGGTGAAATTTGGAACTTTTCAGTCAAATATCTTCATGATGAATATCATGATAAATGCAGTTTTACCTTTTTTGAGTAGAGTGTTTGTGTTTTTTTTTTAGTGTTTTTAGTGTTTTTAACCGCCAGCTTAGTTGCAAAGCAACCCTCGAAAGTCAGAGACTTGTGTGAGTTAAGAAGACGGGGACCTTAGCTTTTTAAGTGTCATCCGAAGCACTACTCGGCTGGTAACCGTGGACAGTCCAAAGGATTGATATCTAGGTACCAAGAATGTTGGGCTGGCCACCTATCTCCTCTGTAGTTCATGTTAATATGATAGTTGCAATTTGATCATTGGAATGAATTCTACATTCATTGCCACGAGGCAAATGACCGTTTTCCGAAAGAAATTTGAGAATGAGAATTAAAAATGCCCGTTTATTATGAACATTCAAGAAAATTTCCTCGAATTCAGAGATGATTTTGTTGAATATAATATACGAATACAAAACTAACTGCACAATCAAAGCTTTTCTATTTTTCCTCGATTTATACTTTTTATGAGAGAGTAATTGTCTTCTATTATTAATTCATCATTATAAATTAAGCTCTGTTTACTACTGAACTTAGATGGAGTAAAATCCTCGCGGTGAATTGCATATACCCACATTTTCGATAGCTCCTAGTCCAACGGGAAACTAAAAGCATGAACTTTTGAACCACCCACATAATTCCCCCGACAAAAGAGAACACAACACTTGAAAGGCATTGTTATTTCGCCGATCACAACACAAAATATTTCACAAAACAGTAATTTTTCCGCCAATTGTTTTGATGAATAAACAACAAAAGAATTCGGGACTGTATCAAAAACATACGTGAATCACCGATGAATTAACACGAACTGACGCTGACGCGTTAGTCGACAAGCGATAAAATAAAACACTGGCCTCTCTTGGTGACGTCACGAGCTGTTTACGTCAGAGTCTGCTGGCCTTGTTGTATCGGTGGTAACGCTTTAGCCCCCATCATACAAATCCTTACTGATCAAATACCATAGACCTATTATCCCAGGGAGACGCAACATCTCATTCATACAACTCTTGTTTGTTTTGCAACAATGATTACATGAGGATGCCCATAAGTATGACAGAGAATACCTATCGAACCTCTTTATCACACAAGTATTTTGCCACCTTAATGGCAACACTGCAATATTGTTGGTAGCACGACTTGGTAGCAAGGAATACCAGTTGCGTGCTGAGAGTGTGTTGAGAACTGTAGTTCCGTCTCCTGTCGATAATAGGTCTGTACACTACACTGTTTTACCATGGACCAAACCGATTTTTTAAACGTCTCGTGTTTCGCTATGTTAGCATCTTCAGGAGAAAATTAAAACTGTAGTTTGTCCTTTGTCTCTCTCTTTCTTACCCTCTTAGCCATCTCCGCCAAATTCTCCGTGACGCTGTCCGCCAGCCTCTGCTCCTCGTCGCAAGGGGGCGGACACGCCGCCATGTTGGAAGGGGGCGGGGCGGACAGTCGTCGGTGCTGCGAGCGCTGCAGCTGATCGAGCAATCTGGACATGCCGTCCAAGCGCTGCTGCAGTTCGTGGCACTGCTCGGACACGCGGATCTCCTCGTCCATCGATTCCAGAAAGGCGACGTCGATGCCTAGGTCTAGGAAGGAAGGAACGAGTGATGTTTAAAAAATCCGGAGTTTACAAACTTAATTGTAACGATTGCAACTCCTCCTATGTTGGTCAAACTGGGCGCAGTTTCGAAATTAGAGCCTCTGAACATAATAGATTGATAACAAGGAATAGGAGCATTGATAATGTTAACACTAGTTCCTCTTTCTCAAACCATATAATTGAATCCAATCATAATTTCAATATATCTGAAAATATGGATTTTCTCCACATTTGTAATAAAGGCTCTAGGTTGAACCTATTGGAAATTCTAGAAATTCAAAAATGTATAAATGATCCTAATTCCACTTGTCATAATGATCAAACCAATTTTGAACGTAGCTTGAGTTTTCGTACTCTAAATCCAATGATTATCATCAAAACATATTATAACCCATATTGGTCTATTGTTGTTCTCCTCCCAATCTCTTGTTCCGATTGTTTCAAAATTTATTTGGTTTGTCAATGTTGATTAGTTTTGTCATATTTGACTTTTGACTGGTGTCACTTGTCATTGTCATGATTCTGGTCATCATTCATATTAATTTTATTTGTATGTCATGTGATATTGACATTGACTTGTGTCACTTGTTCTTTGTCATGTTTCACGTTACATGTGATTTTGATGTTTCTGATTCTTAGAATTCTGTCTTAGCTTCCATTTGCATTTTGCATAATCTGATGAATCTCACGTGAGAGAATTTTTTGAAACTTTTCGATTTAGATGTATCTCTTCATTAATATTATGTTGATCTGGTTCTACTGGACCTTTTTCAGATTCAAAACTAAAACTATTCACATTCAGGACTGATAATTTGTTTTTTCGACCTTGGCTTTTGATAATGTTAAAAATTTTTGCTTCTGATATGTATCACTAAGGATAGTATATCAACTTTTTGACTCTCTTTTTGACTCCTTAACCATGTTCTTTATATCCTTTAGGTACTTTAATACATCAATGTTGTGTCTGATGATGGCCTGTGGCCGAAACTAGTTACAATACTATTATTAAAGATTTTTTCGTGGTCGACAGACTTTGAGACTTATTGTTTTTTCTTATGATGTTTATTCGACTGTCAGATACGCTTTCCCTAATAACACAAGTACATCCTATGGACTTCCCAGGGACGTCCCTAATTTTATACTAGGACATCCCAGGGATATCCTTTGTCGGGACAAAGTGCAAAGTAGGGACGTCGATATGATTCTATAGGGCTGACACCGACATCGACCAACACCGATATATCGGTCATAAAATTTTGCTATGAATTTGTTGCTCTATAAGTTAGATAAAACTGAAATATAATTAAATAAATAAGCAAAGCTCAAAGTCATTTCCAAAAATGTTCATGAATGAACGAAACTGGTAGATGACGAGAGAAAAACAACTACTTTCCTGGCTATATGCCACGCATAACATTGAATTTCATCATCCCGATATCTAAGCAACGATTCGTATAGATCGCAAGTGTGTCTTTCCTAAATGCTCAAATTGATCAGGAACGCTGGACCACCTACTAACCAGTTTCGAGCTTTTGGCTCTCATCAGTGCAGGGGTGTCCAAGATGGCTTCATGGCCGCCATCTGGTGCGAACCTTACCTAACGTATACACAGCCCAACATTTGAAACCCACGAGAGTTCAAGAAAAAAGTTGCATTTGTGGAATTATAAGTGATAATAATACAGATTGTACCATAATTGGCGTTGATTCACGAACGAAGAATAATGAAAAATGGCTCCTTGAGAGCCAACTCTGACTCACCGGCATAAAAATCCGGCAAAAAAATTTAACAAAATCGATCGCCCTGTAACTTATATGATTCTTTCCGATTTTGTTGAAATTGTATATTCAAGATTCGGAATATTATCCTGAATTTCAGTTTCAGTTTCCAAGAAAAGCTGATGGCTTGATCATTATACAGGAAAAACTGATTTACTCTTTCACCCTAACTATTTAACGCGCTGTGGCAGAAGTAAGTAGTTAAACTTAGCTTCATTATGTTTTAGATTGGAGTATGATTCTTTTTCAACACAATGGTTCTCGATCCGAAAAATTATATAACACCTTGTTAGTTCATAATGCTCCTGTTACATTCAATTTCAATTTTGAAATTTATTTTACCAATTTATTCGAATGAAAATTGGTAACTCAATCAGTTGAAATTGAACCGGCAAGGAACATGTGTGATGTATCAAATGTTATTTTATAATATACACCAGGTAACCCTCAAATGTGATTTTCAATAATAATTCAGAGTGATAAGTTTATACGAAAAAAAGAAAGTTGACCAAAAGTATACATTTATGTTGAGATTATCGTTTCAAATGAACCTGTAGTATATACCATGTTTCATCCCACCACCCTGTGTAATTCAGATATCATCATTATTATTATTAGTCATAGATAAATACTTGTTTCGGGAATTGATAGGATCGAAAGGTGACGCAACTAATTAGTCATTCGGGACGAGGCGGTGAATCATGTCAGTCTTGTGTTAGTTGTCATCGTGTACGGTCGGTCTACTTAAAGTGCTCGTATCGGTTTCAAGCAAGCAATCTAGTGCATATTTCGGAATAGTATACAGGGTTTTTCACGATGAGCGTTAATTAGAGGTTTCTGGCAAACCAAAAAACAGATGAATCTGAAAATGTTATGGTATGTATAAATTTACATGATCTACACGTCTGAATTATTTAAAACTAAGCTGCCTTGCCACTTCTACAAGAAAGTAGCAGCAACTATGACTTTTCAAACGGAACACTCTGTATTTCATTGAATTTTAGAATTTCCCTAAAGAGCTGATTTCATCAATGCATCATATTTGGGGTCTAGCGGGAATGATCACAGAGATATAGGGTGTTCAAAATTGGGATTTTTCTACATTAGGATTTTTTTTTGTCGAAACTCATTATTGGTCAAAACGGCTTCAATGTCCCTATCTCAACTTTTGATTTACTATCTACCGACATTTAATTGAAACAGAAACAGGATGGTTTCATAATTCCGATCAACCTGTCTATGTTCCAATTAGATTTAAGTAAATAGTAAATCAACTGTTAAGATAGGGACATGTAAGCGGTTTCGACAAATAATGAAAAGTTGAAAAATGTCGATTTTGAACACCCTATATCTCTGTCATCTTCCGTGCTAGACCCCAAGTGTGATACATTCATAAAATTAAGCTCTTCAGGAAGAATCTAAAAATGCAATGAAAAACAGGGTGTTCCATTGGGAAAAATCAAACTTGCTGCTATTTCCTGGTAGAAGCGGCAACGCTGCATCGTTTAAAATATTTTAGATGTGTAGATCATGTCAAGTTATACAAACCATCAATTATTCAGATTCATCTGTTGCTTGGTTTTCCAGAACCTTCTGATTAACGCTCATCTTGGATCACCCTGTATTGTTTAAAAAGCACGGAATAATAGTAATTTTGAATAAAAAATCAGTAATCCATGCGAGTTATACACTACACTTTTTCTACGGCTATCACACATAACAGCGACATTTTTTATTTCTTCGGCTTTTCTCTCAAGTTATGCTCATCTATTAGACAGATCTGTCATTGCTTGAAATGTGACATTTCATGGATGAGATTTTGTGAAATAATAGCAATTTTGTGTTATATAGCCGTAGAAAAAAAAAAACTGTTTTAATTCTACAACTTTGTTTATTAAAAAGAGTGATGAAACTGTGTCTTTCAAATACATCGTTCGGTATAATAGTGATTACATCGCGGTATTCTGGATTGTGTCGGTGTTTTGTGAAGTGTTTCGAGAATTCATATGTGGACTAGATGCAGATTTCATACTGGTGAGTTTTTTAATCTTTCCTAACACGTGATAGGCACTTTGCGAGGAAATTAATCGATTTCTTTCTCCAAGGAACAAAAATGAATTTAGCAATCCATAATGAGAATTTTAGTCTTCTCACAAAACCGAATGCATTATACATTGCTCTCGTGGAGTGCTGAATGAATTCATTTTTAGCCCAATTATAGATTCCTGAGGAATCTTCCAGTGTTATTCCATGCTCCTTCCCCACAAGGAGGAAAACATTTCTGGAAATTTGTTTAGTTACTATGGTAACGATACGAGATTTTAACTTTTTTAATTGGTCGAAAATGTGATTTATGAAATTTTCAATGATAATTCAGAGATATGAGTTGAGACAAAAAAACTAGATTTTAACAGAAATTAGAAAGTTGACCAAAAGTTCGCAATATTCAAGTTGAAATGATCATCTCAAATGACCCTGTATATCAGTATAGTATGTTCCATTCCACTTAACTAACTTCAGATATCATTATTATTATTATTAGTCATAGATGAATACTTGTTCGGAAATAGATAAGATAAAAAGGTGACGCAACTAATTTGTCATTCGGGACGAGGTGGTGACTCGTGTCAGTCTTGTGTTAGATGTCATCGTGTACGGTCGGTCTACTTAAAGTGCTCGTATCAGTTTCAAGCAAGAATCGAGTGTATATCGCGAAATAGTACACAGGGTTTTTCACAATTAGCGTTAATTAGACGTTTCTGGCAAACCAAGCTACAGATGAATCTGAAAATCTGATGGTGTATATCAGTCATATCAGATTCGGAAATTAAATTGATGACATACAAAGTAGGTACCTCATGAAAACAAGGGAAATTAAACAATTTTGTGTTAAAGCCGTAGAAAAAAAAAAGTTTCAATCCTACAACTATGTAAAAAAGTGATAATAATCTATCGAATACATTGTTCGGTATAGTGATTACATCGCGTTATTCTGTGTTGTGTCGGTGTTTTGTGATGTGTTCTGAGAATGGATATGTGGACTACATGCAGATTTCGTACAGGTGAGTTTTTTTAATCTTTTCTAACACGTGATAAGCACTTTTCGAGAAAATATATCGATTTCTTTTACTCCAAGGAACAAAAATGAATTTAACAACCCATAATGAGAATTTTAGTGTCCTCACGAGATCGAATAAGTACGCATCAT